AGGCAGGCGAGTGGACTCCCGCCCGGGAGGCCTGGCGCTGGTGGTGGCGGTGGACGTGGTGGTCGTGTGCGTGGTGGACTGCCGGGTGGCGCTGTCAGTACCAGCTCCAGACCAGTCCTTGTCGTGGTTTTGTTTGCGGTAAGATCGGTCACACCGTCCGCTGTTTTCGTCGCCTGGACGATCTGTTTCGTCAGCGCTTCGGCCCGATGCCCGACCTCCCCGACTGGCATAGCTTGCTTTGCCATAGCGTTCAGATCTTTGATATGGACATGGATGAGATTGTGCCCTGCATGTGATGTATGCTGATGACTCTAGTGTGACTGCTTCTTACTACCCCTTGTTGCCTAGTGTAGGCATGTCTAGTCGTGCCTCCCCTGCTGCGTCAGGCGTAGGACACTCCTGTGGCACCACCGGCTAGGTTACCCCGCCCTCCAGCGTCTGCGTCACATGTCACAGCACAGTCTTGTCCTAGGTCTCCCAGGGTCGTTCCCCGAGTTGCCCTCCTCCCCAGCACTACCGTGCACGCCCTTTGTCGAGGGCCGGCTCCGCCATGCCCCTCACTCCTCCTCGTTCCCCCCTACTGCCGCACCGCTACAGACTCTGCACATGGACGTCTGGGGCCCCGCCCCCGTCCATGGGCCGCGTCGAGAGCGCTACTTCCTAGTGCTTGTCGACGACTACACGCGCTACACCACCGTGTTCCCCATAGAGCGGAAGGCCGACGTGCCTGACGTTCTCATCCCGTGGCTTGTCTCTGCGCGTGTCCCCCGCGGTCTCCCTGCCTTGTGTCTCCACTCCGACCGTGGTGGTGAGTTTGCCTCTGGTGTCCTTGGTCGATTTGTCGTGCGGAGGGCATCACCCAGACGTTCACCCTGCCGGACTCCCCGCAGCAGAATGGGGTCACTGAGCAATGCATCGGCTTGGTCATGGAGGTGGCCCATACCTCCATGATCCATACCGATGCACCCCATTTTCTGTGGCCGTTCGCTGTTCCCTACACCGCTCGCCAACTTATCATGTGGCCGCACCCCTGTTCCTGGTTACCCCTTCCCCAATTGCGGGGTGCTGGCGTTGGGGTGGGTACTAGTTCTGGGGTTCCTGTCGTGGCTTGTCCCAGCGGGCCTTGGGGTGGTACCGGTGTTCGTGGGGTTTCGGGCTCCGGGGGTGTTGGAGTGGAGTGTTCCGGAGGTAGCCGTGGAGCAGCTTGCCGTCCCAGTGTCGGTGTCGTGCCGCCGCAGCAGCAGTCACCGCCGATGTTAACCCTTCGCCTGCTCAGCCTCCCGTCCCCTGACCACGTGTATGTGCCTCCCTTGCCGTCTCCTCCCCTTCCTGTCTACGGCCCTGTGTTCCCTCCCCCGGACTCGTCTTCGGCTTTTCTTCCCCCTCATTCCCGTCCAGTGTCCCCTTCTCTGTCTCCTGACACGACTCCTCCGTCTCACGTCTGGTCTCGTCGTCCCTCCCGTGCTCGCCCCGTCTCCCCTGTCCTGCGCTCTCTTCCTATTTTGCTTTGTTCCCATGCGCCTCGTCCTCCCCTCCTACCGTCGCCTCCTCCGTCCTCCCATGCTGTTGCGCCTCCCCCTCTGTCTGACTACCTTCGTGCCGCTCGTCCCCTTGTCCCTCGGGTCCTAGCCTCTCTCGTTACCGACCTGTCTGTTCCGGTCTCGTGTCTTGACGCTCTTGTCGCTACGGTCGCTGACTTCGCCTCTACCCTCCGCCTTGACTACGCCACTGCTCTGGTCTCTGACCCTGCTTGTCCTCCGTCTGTCGGGGGTGCTCCTGCCCTCGGCAGTGACGTCTTGGAGGACCGCCAGTACAAGCTTGCTTTCCTGTCCAAGGCTGCTCCCCATCTCTGTTCTATGCTGTTAGTCCCTGAGGGTGACCCAGACGCTTTCGACATTTCGACCCCTCGCACTTACGCTGAGGCGGTTTCGGGACCTTGGGCCTCGCAGTGGATAGCTGCCATGGAGCAGGAGATGGCATCTTGGATATCCACCGGCACCTATGTCGACGCAGTTCCTCCACCTGGGGTGAACGTAGACGACGGCCGCTGGCTCTTCAAGGTGAAGCGCCCTCCTGGAGAGCCGCCTATGTTCAAGGCGCGCTACGTGGCTAGAGGCTTTAGTTAGCGTGAGGGGGTGGACTTCTTTCAGACTTTCGCTCGGACCCCGAAGATGACTACTCTTCGGGCACTACTACATGTAGCAGCACAGCGTGACTACGAGTTACACTCCCTCGACTTCTCCACTGTGTTTCTTCAGGGCAGTCTACACGAGTAGGTCTACATGCGCCGCCCTTAGGGCTTCATTGGTACCTTCCCTCCTGGGACCCAGTGGCTTCTGCGGCGCCCAGTCTACGGCTTGCGTCAGGCTCCCCGCGAGTGGCACGACACACTGCGTGCTACTCTTGCAGACCTTTTCTTCTTTCCGTCTTCCGCAGACCCCTCGCTCTTTGTTCGTTCTGGCTAGACTCCGTTCTACATCCTTGTTTACGTAGACGATCTGGTCTTTGCCACTGCAGACACCACCGCGCTGGCCTTTGTGAAGGCTGAGCTGCTGAGGAGACACACCTGCGCTGACCTAGGAGAGCTGCACCACTACCTGGGCCTGCAGATCTCCAGAGACAGAGAAGCGCGCACCATCACTCTCACCCAATCACACTTGGTGCGCCAGGTCCTTCAGAGGTTCGGTCTTCACTTCTCCTCCGCACAGCCCACACCTCTTCGTGCAGATCACAGGCTCTCTGCTCCAGTTCCTGAGGAGTCAGCAGAGCCCAGTAGTCCTTACGCAGAGCTGGTGGGTTGCCTCATGTACCTGATGACTTGCACTCGTCCAGATCTCGCATACCCTCTCAGCATCTTGGCTTGCTTTGTGGCCACAGGCAGACACAGACCTCAGCACTAGTCTGCAGCTAAGAGGGTTTTGCGTTATCTCGCGAGTACATCAGGCATGGGGTTACTGCTGGTTGGACGCAGGCCGGTGGTCCTTACTGGGCACACAGACGCTTCTTGGGCAGACGACGCCGAGACCCTTAGGTCCTCGCAGGGCTACTGCTTTAGCCTTGGTTCAGGTGCCGTCTCATGGAGAGCTACTCGCTCCTCGTCTGTTGCCCAGTCGAGCTGTGAGGCCGAGATCTACGTTGGTGCCATGGCGGCACAGGAGCTCCGCTGGCTGACCTTCCTGCTCACTGACTTAGGTGAGCGGCCTAGCTCTGCACCTGTCTTGTACGCTGACAACAGGGCCATGATCCTCTTGTGTCAGGAGCCTCGACTTGAGGGCAGAGCAAAGCATATCCAGCTGCGGTACTTCCTCTTGCGCGAGCTGCAGCAGCGTCGCCAGGCTCGCGTAGTACACTTGGCCTCCGGTGCCAACACAGCTGATATCTTTACGAAGGCCCTTGCGCCTAAAGATCATCAGCGGCACTGTGTACAGCAAAGCCTTGTTCCTGTTACCTCTCACCTGCTAGGGCCTTGACTATGTACTGACCTTTATATATTTTATTCTTGACTTGCCTTGTGGCCTCTTCCCAGTGGTTGGACTAGTAGTGCCGCCCTGGTCTTGCCCTTGCACTGGTCTTTACTTGTTTGACTGGTCTTTGGACCCTTGACTCAGAGGCTCCCAATTATTGGAACCCCCAATAATCCCAACCAAGATTATTGGTCCCACCAATAATCTTGGCTAGGATTATTGGACCCCCAATAAGTTGGCCAACTCAACTTATTGGGGTCACCAATAATCGTGGTCACCTCCCAACCAAAACCCCCCCCTCCCTCCTACTCCTCACCTATGTATACCCACTCCTTTCCTAATACAATCATCACTTCAGATTCTCACATGGTTTCAGAGCTTATGGCTCACGCCTCTCCGTCGTTCGATCCCTAGCCACCTCGCGCCCAACGCGCCCCTCCCCGCGCCCTTAAGCGCCCCTCTCCGCGCCTTTAAGCGCCCCTCCCCGCGCCCTTCAGCGTCCTTCTCTGCGCCTTTAGGCGCCCCTCCCCGCGCCCATAAGCGCCCCTCCCCGCGCCCATAAGGGCCCCTCCCCGCGCCCACAAGCGCCCCTCCCCGCGCCCTTAAGCGCCTCTCCTCGCGCCCTTAAGCGCTGCATTTTCGCGCGGTGCTCCTGCCGCATTTCGACGCGGTGCTCGGCCGCATTTCAACGCGGCGCTCGGCCGCATTTCGGCGCGGCGCTCCGGCCGCATTTCGACGCGGCGCTCGGCCGCATTTCGACGCGGCGCTCGGCCGCATTTCGGCGCGGCGCTCCTGCCGCATTTCGGCGCGGCGCTCCTGCCGCATTTCGGCGCGGCGCTCCTGCCGCATTTCGGCGCGGCGCTCGGCCGCATTTCGGCGCGGCGCTCGGCCGCATTTCGGCGCGGCGCTCGGCCGCATTTCGGCGCGGCGCCCGGCTGCATTTCGGCGCGGCGCCCGGCCGCATTTCGGCGCGGCGCCCGGCCGCATTTCGGCGCGGCGCCCGGCCGCATTTCGGCGCGGCGCCCGGCCGCATTTCGGCGCGGCGCTCGTCTGCATTTCGGCGTCCGGTCCTCACCATCTGCGCCGGCCGTCGCCTTTCGCATCGGCGCCCGAAGAAGGCTTCGCGTCGCGCACCCGTCTTCTTCCTCCCCCCCCCCTTCCTCCCTCCCCTCCTCCCCTCCCTCTCTCCCCCCCCCCCCCCCCCCCCCCGTCCCCTCTCCTCCTCTCCTCCTTCCCCACGAACAGCAGCAGCCGCATCCTTCCACAATCAAACGCAGCAGCCGCATCAGCAACCGCAACCGCACCCTCCACCGGCCTTCACCTCCTCCCCACTCCCTTCATCAGCCGCAGCAGCCACATCTCCCCCCTCCACCTCCCCCTACTCCCCTTCCTCCCCCACCAGCTGCAGCAGCCGCCTCATCTCCAGCAGCCGCACCATCAGCAGCAGTAGCCGTATTTCCCCCCCCTCCCCTCCCTCCTCCTTCTCCCCTCTCCACTCATCCCCAGCAGCAACAGCAGCAGCATCCGCAATCGCACCATGACCACCGAAACACTCGCCGTCGACATCTCCACCATCGACGTCCTCGAGCTCATCGACGACGCCGTCCCTGTCAACTGGGCTACCTTTGCCCAGAGCCTTACCAATGTCCTCGGATCTGCTATCATCAACGACTACTGCCTCCTTAACATTCTCCTTGGCAATGACGCAGGGCAGCCCCCCGAATGTCCCGCTGATGTCTCCCCTGCACCTCCCGCCCCACCCCCGGCCCCCTCGGGACCGGCCCCCACCAAGCCCTCTCCACTGGTCTACACCGACGACCCTGATCGATGGGCTCGCGTGCAACACCAATATGACAAGGACTTTGCGGAGTACACTCTCCTCCATCACGCGTATGACGCAGAGCAAGCTGCGCACGACGCCGCCAACACACTCCTCCAACAGCACAAGGACGCCACGGCTAAGTATGCTGACGACTTTCGTGAGTACCGTCGTCGCCACTCTGCCTGGAACGTTGCCAACCGCAAATGTCTCGCTATCCTGTCTGCATGCGTTCCTTCCTCCCTCAAACGCGAAATTACCCCCTCCTCCGCTCCCGAGTTCTGGAAAGAGCTATGTGCCACCTATGACCTCCAGGACACCAACTCTCTCCTAGCGCTCCACCGCGCCTTCCTCGACATCAACCTTGACTCCTGCCCCAACGCCCTCTCCTTCACGCGCCGCCTCCTCACCACTGCCAAACGCCTTGCCGATCGTCGCTCTCCCCTTCCCGACTCCCTCATCGTTTGCCGCCTCCTCGACGGCCTCACACCCATGTATGAGGCCCGTCGCGTGGCGTTCAATGAGGTCCACGCCAGCTTCCCACCCGACTCCGCCTATGTAGCCGCATGGATTCTGAAAACTGAAGCGGAGCTTCTCCGCCAGTCTCCTCCAACGGCTCATGCTGCCCAAGAAAAAGGAGGACGTGGTGCTGGCCGTGGCGGTACTTCGGCGGGACGATCGGGTGGTGGACGTGGCGGGGGGCGCAGTGGAGGACGCGGGGGTAGCAGTGGTTCCAACAGCACCGGCGGCTTCTCCCCGTGTCAGTATCTCATCCGCAACGGCCCCAACAAGGGTAAGCGCTGCCTCCAAACCACCCATGCCACCACCACATGTTTCAAGGCCCTCACTGATGAGTGGCTTGATCGAGGCAACACGGGCACGCCCCCTCGCTGGTCCGCTATCACTCCACCTCCCACTCCCTTTGATGTTCGTACCCTCCCCGCCTATCAACCCTCCTCTACCTCTCTCCACCACATCCTCGCACAGCACCTCCCTCCACAGATCCTCCAGCAGGTCACGCCCCTCCTTCCGTCCCCACAGCCGCAGCAGACTCAGCAGCCGCAGCAGAACCAGCAGCCGCAGCAGTCCCAGCAGCAGCCGCAGCAGCTCCTGCAGCAGCTCCTCCAGCAGCTGCACCAGTCTCAGCAGCACCAGCAGTCTCAGCAGCAGCCCTCCCCTCCCTCCGCCTGGAGCTCTGGCCTGTCTGCTCCTGCTCCTCCTGCGCAGGCCCCCACCGGACCTCCTGGCTTTACCCCATTTCCCTCACCTGGCTTCATCAACCATGTTAGCCATGCCTCTCCTGCTATTCCTCCAATGTATCCCGAGTCTATTAATGAAACCTCCTTCCAGTACTCCGTGTCTCACCCCACCCCTCCTTCCATTGAGTTTGTCATTGACAGCGGCGCCAGTGTCACAGTCCTTCGTGATGCTGGTGCCCTCACCCCCCTCCCTAACCCCTCCACCATCATTGGAGCCGATTCTACTTTCTCGGTCACCTCCCGCCATACCTCCACTCTTCCCTGCCCCCTCTTCCCCTCAGGTTCAGTAACTGGCTTCCATGTCCCCTCCCTTCGCACTAACCTCGTCTCCCAAGGTGCACTTCAACGGGCCGGGGTCACAACAATCTACCCCGGCCACGCCACCCACTGCGACTTGTTTCACTCATCCACGGGCCATTTCATCGTCCGTGTTCCCATGTGTCCTCGCACTCGCATGTACACCCTTCACACTCCCCGTCCGTCAGCCTGTCACACTGCCTCCACCATCCCTCCCCTCCCCCCTCCCCTCTTTCCTCCGCAACCTCCCTCCACCTCCCCTCCCGCCCCTCCTGCTCCCCCCCCATCTCAGTGCCACTGTCGTGATCTTACACATCCTGCCATCCTCCTCCACCACCGCCTAGGCCACCCCAACTTTGCCACCCTCCACAAGGCCGTCGCCTCCGGGCTCCTCAATGGCCTTCCCCTCACTCTCCCCCCACTCCCTCCCTCCCCCGCCCCACCTTGCACCATCTGTGTCCAGAGCAAGCTCAAGCAGCTTCCTCATAAAAGTCACCCTTCTTGCGCCCCAGAGCTCCTGGATCTTGTCCACATGGATCACTGGGGCCCCAACCCCTCCCCCACCCGTCAAGGGCACCGCTACCTCCTCGTCCTAGTCGATGACCGCTCACGATACACCTCGGTCTCCCTCCTTCGCACGAAGGCCGAAGCATCGGCCTTTATCATCGCCTGGGCCGAGCAGGCGCGCACCCACTTCGGTCGTCCCGTTCGCCGCTTCCATTCCGATGGCGGCGGTGAATTCCTCAATCACCATCTCTCTTCCTATTTCTCCACCCATGGTATTCACCACACTTACACCCTCCCTCACTCCCCTCAACAGAATGGCGTGGCAGAAGCTCGTGTTCGAGAAGTTACAAAGACCGCCAGGTGTCTTCTCGTTCACGCCTCCTGCCCGCCTTCTCTCTGGGGTTATGCTCTTCTCCACGCCGTCCTCCTCACTAACCTGTATCCCCACCCTCTCCTCCCCTCCACCACCCCCACCGAGCTGTGGACGTCAACTAAACCCGACGTCTCCCCCCTGCGCGTCTGGGGTTCCAGGGCGTATGTTCTCATACACCCAGCTGACCGCTCACGCACAGCAGGGAAGCTCGCCTCCAAGAGTCTACCCTGTGTATTCCTTGGTCACAACACCTCCTCCCCTGACTACCTCTTCCTTCATCCCCCCTCAGGTCGCCTCATTCGTAGTCGGGACGTCATCTTTGACGAATCCTCCCCGTACTACACCTCTCCTGCCTCACCTGACCCACTCACCATTCCTCCTCGCCCCTTCATCCCCTCTGACACTGTCACCCCCCCCTCCTCCCCCTCTCCCTCTTATTCCCCACCCCCAGCACCTCCTCCTCCCGAATCTGCTCCCTCCTCATCTTCCTCAGGTGACATCCTTGACCCAGTACTCCCCCCTCTCCCTCTCACTCCGCTTCCGCTCCATCCTCCCCTTCTCCCCACCTCCCCCCCTCCACCTCCTTCCCCCCCTCCTCCCCCACCTCCCCCACCTCCTCCTCCACCCCCCCAGGTGTCTTCTCCCCTGGTCCTTCGCCACCGCCCTCATACTCGGTCCATGGATCCCCTCTTTGGTCCGCCCTTAGCCCCTCCCTCCCCTCAGGCAAAGGCACCCGCTCCAGCACCCTCTGCTTCCACCTCCGCACCCGCCGCAGCAGCTCCCGCCGCCGCACCAGTGCCTTCCTCGGTCGCCGCACCCGCAGCGTCAGGATCCGCCGCAGCAGTTGCCCCGGTCAAGCAGCCGTGCAGCCGAGTCGCAGAGTCGCAGTGTCGCAGCCTCCCCCCTCAGCAGCGCAGCAGACTTGCAACACCACCCTCCCTTCCTCCTCCTTTCTCTCCCCTCCTCATCGAAGACTCCCATGGTGAATTTCTTCGCCTCCACCTCTTCTCCAACACCCAAGCAGTCGCCTTCAGCATGACCGGCGCTCCGGTACTGGTCTTCTCCGGTGCGCCCATCATCTTCGAGCCGGGAGATTATCACGAAGCTATGACATGCCCCGACCACCCTCATTGGGGCAAGGCAGTCCTCAAAGAGAACGAGGCATTTGTCCGCAACGGCACCTTCATCGACGTACCCCGCCCTCTCAACTACAACGTGGTCAAAGGCAAATGGGTATTTCGGGTCAAGCTCCTCCCTGGCGACGACCCGGTCTATAAGGCCCGCTACTGCGCCAAAGGATTTACGCAGCGGTACGGCCATGACTTCCTTGACACGTACTCGCCGACCGCCACTCCCCCTGTCGTCCGCGTGTTCTTGGACTTCGTTGGCCGGCGCGGCATGCTCCTGCACTCGATGGATGTCACCACGGCATTTCTCCAAGGTGAACTCCATGAGCGCATCTTCATGGAGCGTCCCGAGGGCTGGCACCTCCCTTTCCCTCCCAACACCGTTTGGGAACTTCGCCGCCCGGTCTACGGCCTCAAGCAAGCTCCTCGGGAATGGCATGCCAAGCTCTCGAGCACTCTCCGTGCTCTTGGTTTTCGCCCTTCCCAGGCTTCCTCCTGCCTCTTCCTGCGCACCTCCCCCTCCCCCTTCTACATCCTCGTCTACGTCGACGACATGCTTCTTGCCGCTGACAACGAAGCAGACCTACACCAGGTCAAGGATGAGCTGCAGAAGCGCCTCCTTTGCAAGGACCTGGGGGAGGTCCGCAACTACCTCGGGATGGAGATTTCTCGCGATCGTACGGCCAGGACCATCTCCCTCTCTCAGGCATTCTACCTCGAGAAGGTCCTTGAACGCTTCGAGATGGCCATGGCCAAACCCGTCTCCACACCCCTCCAAGTCGGCCACCAGCTCTCACCGACAACCACCCACGGTTCCTCCACCAATCCTTACGCTGAGCTGGTCGGGTCCCTGATGTACGCCATGATGTGCACTCGCCCCGACCTCGCCTACCCTATCAGTGTCCTGGCGCGCTTTGTCGGCGCTGGCAAACACACTCCCGAGCACTGGCAAGCGGCCAAGCGCGTTCTCCGCTACATCAAAGGCACCAAGGACTATGTCCTCACCTTGGGCGGCCCCACCCCTCCTCAGCTCACTGGCTACAGCGACTCCTCTTGGGCAGATTCTCAGCCCGATCGTCGCAGCTCACAGGGGTATGGTTTCTCCCTCGGGAGCGGCCTCATTTCCTGGCGCTCCACCCGCTCCTCCTCGATCGCTCTCTCCTTCTGCGAAGCAGAGCTCTACGCCATCACCATGGCGGCCCAGGAGGCGCGGTGGCTCAGCTTCCTCCTCGCTGAGCTGGATGCTCCCCAGCCCTGTCCCACCATCTGGTGCGACAATGCCAGTACTATCCACCTCACAAAGGAAGCCGTTTTCCATGGTCGCTCCAAACACATCGAGCTCCGACACTACTTCGTTCGTGAGCTCGTCCAGGCTGGACACCTCACCGTGCGCAAGATTGACTCTTCAGCCAACCTTGCCGACATCTTCACCAAGGCCCTCCCTCGTCGTCCCCATGCGGCTCTCCTTCGCCTTCTGGGTCTTGCCCCTCCCTCACAGGGGACTACCTGATTCAGGGGTTGCTTCTCCTCCCCTTCCCAAGACTTATGGCACTCTGTAGGCTAAGGGGTTGTGTTAGACTATTCTCCCTTCATTCTATTAGCCTACATCGTTTCATTGTCTTAGGAACTTATAAGCACCCCACTAGGGTGTATACACCCAAGTTGGGGGTTGGGTTCCCAACCTTGTTGGGTTCCCAAATTGGTTGGGCTCCCAATTATTGGAACCCCCAATAATCCCAACCAAGATTATTGGACCCACCAATAATCTTGGCTAGGATTATTGGACCCCCAATAAGTTGGCCAACTCAACTTATTGGGGTCACCAATAATCGTGGTCACCTCCCAACCAAAACCCCCCCCTCCCTCCTACTCCTCACCTATGTATACCCACTCCTTTCCTAATACAATCATCACTTCAGATTCTCACAACCCTTTCCCCCTATCCTCCTCTCCCTTTCCCCCTGTCCTCCTCTCCCTTTCCCCCTATCCTCCTCTCCCTATCCCCCTACCCTCCTCAACCTTTCCCCCTATCCTCCTCCCCCTTCACCTCTGTACTCCTCTCCCGTTCCCCCTGTCCTCCTCCCCCTTTCCCCCTTTCCCACTATACTCCTCTCCCTTTCCCCCTATCCTCCTCCCCCTTTCCCCCTGTTCTCCTCTCCCTTTCCCCCTCCCTTTCCCCCTATCCTCCTCACCCTTTCCCCCTATCCTCCTCCCCCTTTCCCCCTGTACTCCTCTCCCTTTCCCCCTATCCTCCTCTCCCTTTCCCCCTGTACTCCTCTCCCTTTCCCCCTATCCTCCTCTCCCTTTCCCCCTATCCTCCTTTCCCTTTCCCCCTATCCTCTTCTCCCTTTCCCCCTGTCCTCCTCTCCCTTTCCCCCTGTCCTCCTCTCCTTTTCCCCCTATCCTCCTCTCCCTTTCCCCCTGTCCTCCTCTCCCTTTCCCCCTATCCTTCTCACCCTTTCCCCCTATCCTCCTCTCCCTTTCCCCCTGTCCTCCTCTCCCTTTCCCCCTATACTCCTCTCCCTTTCCCCCTGTACTCCTCTCCCTTTCCCCCTATCCTCCTCTCCCTTTCCCCCTATCCTCCTTTCCCTTTCCCCCTATCCTCTTCTCCCTTTCCCCCTGTCCTCCTCTCCCTTTCCCCCTGTCCTCCTCTCCATTTCTCCCTATCCTCCTCTCCCTTTCCCCCTATCCTCCTCTCCCTTTCCCCCTGTCCTCCTCTCCCTTTCCCCCTATCCTCCTCACCCTTTCCCCCTACCCTCCTCTCCCTTTCCCCCTGTCCTCCTCTCCCTTTCCCCCTATCCTCCTCTCCCTTTCCCCCTGTCCTCCTCTCCCTTTCCCCCTATGCTCCTCTCCCTTTCCCCCTGTCCTCCTCTCCCTTTCCCCCTATCCTCCTCCCCTTCACCTCTGTCCTCGTCTCCCTTTCCCCCTATCCTCCTCTTCCTTTCCCCCTGTCCTCCTCTCCCTTTCCCCCTATCCTCCTCTCCCTTTCCCCCTACACTCCTCTCCCTTTCCCCCTATCCTCCTCCCCCTTTCCCCCTGTCCTCCTCTCCCTTCACCGCTGTCCTCCTCTCCCTTTCCCCCTATCCTCCTCTCCCTATCCTCCTGTCCTCCTCTCCCTTTCCCTTATCCTCCTCTCCCTTTCCCCCTGTCCTCCTCTCCCTTTCCCCCTGTCCTCCTCTCCCTTTCCCCCTGTCCTCCTCTCCCTTTCCCCCTGTCCTCCTCTCCCTTCACCCCTGTCCTCCTCTCCCTCTCCCCCTATCCTCCTCCCCCTTCCCCCTTGTCCTGCTCTCCCTTCACCCCTGTCCTCCTCTCCCTTTCCCCCTATCCTCCTCTCCCTATCCTCCTGTCCTCCTCTCCCTTTCCCCCTATCCTCCTCTCCCTTTCCCCCTGTCCTCCTCTCCCTTTCCCCGTGTCCTCCTCTCCCTTCCCCCCTGTCCTCCTCTCCCTTTCCCCTATCCTCCTCTCCCTTTCCCCCTGTCCTCCTCTTCCTTTCCCCCTGTCCTCCTCTCCCTTTCCTTCTATCCTCCTCTCCCTTTCCCCCTATCCTCCTCTCCCTTTCCCCCTGTCCTACTCTCCCTTTTCCCCCTATACTCCTCTCCCTTTTCCCCCTATACTCCTCTCCCTTTCCCCCCATCCTCCTCTCCCTTTCCCCCTATCCTCCTCTCCCTTTCCCCCTATCCTCCTCCCCCTTTCCCCCTGTCCTCCTCTGCCTTTCCCCCTGTCCTCCTCTCCCTTTCCCCCTATCCTCCTTTCCCTTTCCCCCTATCCTCCTCTCCCTTTCCCCCTGTCCTCCTCCTCCTTTCCCCCTGTACTCCTCTCCCTTTCCCCCTATCCCCCTCTCCCTTTCCCCCTATCCTCCTTTTCCTTTCCCCCTATCCTCCTCTCCCTTTCCCCCTGTCCTCCTCACCCTTTCCCCCTATCCTTCTCTCCTTTTCCCCCTATCCTCCTCTCCCTTTCCCCCTGTCCTCCTCTCCCTTTCCCCCTATACTCCTCTCCCTTTCCCCCTACCCTCCTCTCCCTTTCCCCCTATCCTCCTCTCCCTTTCCCCCTGTCCTCCTCTCCCTTTCCCCCTATACTCCTCTCCCTTTCCCCTACCCTCCTCTCCGTTTCCCCCTGTCCTCCTCTCCCTTTCCCCCTGTCCTCCTCTCCCTTTCCCCCTAACCTCCTCTCCCTTTCCCCCTGTCCTCCTCTCCCTTTCCCCTTATACTCCTCTCCCGTTCCCCCTGTCCTCCTCCCCCTTTCCCCCTGTTCTCCTCTCCCTTTCCCCCTACCCTCCTCTCCCTTTCCCCCTATCCTCCTCCCCCTTTCCCCCTGTTCTCCTCCCCCTTTCCCCCTGTACTCCTCCCCCTTTCCCCCTATCCTCCTTTCCCTTTCCCCCTATCCTCCTCTCCCTTTCCCCCTGTCCTCCTCACCCTTTCCCCCTATCCTTCTCTCCTTTTCCCCCTATCCTCCTCTCCCTTTCCCCCTGTCCTCCTCTCCCTTTCCCCCTATACTCCTCTCCCTTTCCCCCTACCCTCCTCTCCCTTTCCCCCTATCCTCCTCTCCCTTTCCCCCTGTCCTCCTCTCCCTTTCCCCCTATCCTCCTCTCCCTTTCCCCCTGTCCTCCTCTCCCTTTCCCCTTATACTCCTCTCCAGTTCCCCCTGTCCTCCTCCCCCTTTCCCCCTGTTCTCCTCTCCCTTTCCCCCTACCCTCCTCTCCCTTTCCCCCTATCCTCCTCCCCCTTTCCCCCTGTTCTCGTCTCCCTTTCCCCCTCCCTTTCCCCCTATCCTCCTCACCCTTTCCCCCTATCCTCCTCCCCCTTTCCCCCTGTACTCCTCTCCCTTTCCCCCTATCCTCCTCTCCCTTTCCCCCTGTACTCCTCTCCCTTTCCCCCTATCCTCCTCTCCCTTTCCCCCTGTCCTCTCTCCCTTTCCCCCTGTCCTCCTCTCCCTTTCCCCCTGTCCTCCTCTCCCTTTCCCCCTGTCCTCCTCTCCCTTCACCCCTGTCCTCCTCTCCCTTTCCCCCTATCCTCCTCCCCCTTCCCCCTTGTCCTGCTCTCCCTTCACCCCTGTCCTCCTCTCCCTTTCCCCCTATCCTCCTCTCCCTATCCTCCTGTCCTCCTCTCCCTTTCCCCCTATCCTCCTCCCCTTTCCCCCTGTCCTCCTCTGCCTTTCCCCCTGTCCTCCTCTCCCTTTCCCCCTATCCTCCTTTCCCTTTCCCCCTATCCTCCTCTCCCTTTCCCCCTGTCCTCTTCCTCCTTTCCCCCTGTACTCCTCTCCCTTTCCCCTATCCCCCTCTCCCTTTCCCCCTATCCTCCTTTCCCTTTCCCCCTATCCTCCTCTCCCTTTCCCCCTGTCCTCCTCACCCTTTCCCCCTATCCTCCTCTCCCTTTCCCCCTGTACTCCTCTCCCTTTCCCCTACCCTCCTCTCCGTTTCCCCCTGTCCTCCTCTCCCTTTCCCCCTGTCCTCCTCTCCCTTTCCCCCTAACCTCCTCTCCCTTTCCCCCTGTCCTCCTCTCCCTTTCCCCTTATACTCCTCTCCCGTTCCCCCTGTCCTCCTCCCCCTTTCCCCCTGTTCTCCTCTCCCTTTCCCCCTACCCTCCTCTCCCTTTCCCCCTATCCTCCTCCCCCTTTCCCCCTGTTCTCCTCCCCCTTTCCCCCTGTACTCCTCTCCCTTTCCCCCTATCCTCCTCTCCCTTTCCCCTATCCTCCTTTCCCTTTCCCCCTATCCTCCTCCCCCTTTCCCCCTGTTCTCCTCTCCCTTTCCCCCTACCCTCCTCTCCCTTTCCCCCTGTCCTCCTCTCCCTTTCCCCCTATACTCCTCTCCCTTTCCCCCTGTACTCCTCTCCCTTTCCCCCTATCCTCCTCTCCCTTTCCCCCTATCCTCCTTTCCCTTTCCCCCTATCCTCTTCTCCCTTTCCCCCTGTCCTCCTCTCCCTTTCCCCCTGTCCTCCTCTCCCTTTCTCCCTATCCTCCTCTCCCTTTCCCCCTATCCTCCTCTCCCTTTCCCCCTGTCCTCCTCTCCCTTTCCCCCTATACTCCTCTCCCTTTCCCCCATCCTCCTCTCCCTTGCCCCCTACCCTCCTCTCCCTTTCCCCTATCCTCCGCCCCCTTTCCCCCCTGTCCTCCTCTCCCTTTCCCCCTACCCTCCTCTCCCTTTCCCCCTATCCTCCTCCCCTTTCCCCCTGTCGTCCTCTCCCTTTCCCCCTGTCCTCCTCTCCCTTTCCCCCTATCCTCCTCTGCCTTTCCCCCTCTCCTCCTCTCTCTTTCCCCCTACCCTCCTCTCCCTTTTCCCCTATCCTCCTCCCCCTTTCCCCCTGTCCTCCTATCCCTTCCCCCATGTCCTCCTCTCCCTTTCCCCCTATCCTCCTCCCCCTTTCCCCCTGTCCTCCTCTCCCTTTCCCCTATGCTCCTCTACCCTTCCTCCTATCCTCCTCTTCCTTTCCCCCTCTCCTCCTCTCCCTCTCCCCCTACCCTCCTCTCCCTTTCCCCCTATCCTCCTCCCCCTTTCCCCCTGTCCTCCTCTCCCTTCATCCCTGTCCTCCTCTCCCTTTCCCCCTATCCTCCTCTCCCTTTCCTGCTGTCCTCCTCTCCCTGTCCCCCTTTCCTCCTCTCCCTTTCCCCCTATCCTCCTCTCCCTTTCCCCCTGACCTCCTCTCCCTTTCCCCCTGTCCTCCTCTCCCTTTCCCCCTATCCTCCTCTCCCTTTTCCCCTATCCTCCTCTCCCATTCCCCTATACTCCTCTCCCTTTCCCCCCATCCTCCTCTCCCTTT